TCTATTATGTTCCATTGATCTGTGTGCCTGTTTTTGTGCCAATATCATACTTTTTTGATTACTATAACTTTGCAGTATAGTTTGAAATCAGGGAGTGTGATTCCTCCAGCTTTGTTCTTCCTCAAGATTGTTTTGGTTCTTCAGGGTCTTTTGTGTTCACATACGAATTTTCGAATTATTTGTTCCAGTTCTGTGAAAAATACCATTGGTATTTTGATAGGGATTGCACTGAATCTGTAGATTGCCTGGGGTAGTATGGTCACTTAAACAGTATTAATTCTTTCAGTGTATGAACACGGTATATCTTTCCATCTGTGTCATCTTCAGTTTCTTTCATCAGTGTCCTATAGATTTCTGAGTACAGGTCTTTTACCTTTTTAGTTAAATTTATTCCAAGTTATTTTATTCTTTTTGATGTGATTGTAAATGGGATTGTTTTCTTAGTTTCTCTTTCTGATAGTTCCTTGTTAGTGTATAGAAATGCAATAGGCTTCTGTATATTAATTTTGTATATGGCAGCTTTGCTGTTATATGATTGTTAAGTGGTGCAGCCACTTTGGAAAACAATCAGTTCCTCGAAAAGTTTAACACAGTTACCACATGACCAGGAATTCCACTTCTAGGTTTATGCCCAAGAGATAACATATCCACACAAAAACCTGTTCATAGCAGCATTATTCATAATAACCAAGGTAGAAACAAATGCCCACCACCTGATGAATGGATCAACAAAATGCAGTCCATCCACATGGTGGAATATTATTCAGCCATAAAAAGGAATGAAGCACTGACACATGCTACTACGTGGATTAACCTTGAAAACACGCTACGTGAAAGAAGCCAGACGTGAAAGGTCACATCTTGCGTGAGTCCATTTACTTGAAATATCCAAAATAGGCAAATCTATAGAGACGGTAGATTAGGAGCTGGTGGAGAGATGACTGGAAATGGGTGTGAGGCTTCTTTCTGGGGCAATGAAAAGGTTCTAAAGTTAGATCCTGGTGATGGTGCAGACTCTGTGAATATACTAAACCCTCTGCACTGCATACTTTCACCAGGAGGATCTTATGGGATGTAAGTCACATCTCAATAAAACTGTTTCTAGAAGCCAGGATTACACTCTTTGGAGACAGGGTGGCTGGGCTCATCCCAACCAGTTGGAGCCGCCTGTCCACAGGTCAGCACCACCCAGGTGGCCCCGGGTGAGGTGCGCTCAGAGGGTCTGGGCCGGAGGTGGCAGCAACCACGCTGGGTCTCTAAGTCCTTGGGTCCCTCAGGGGTCCGGAACTGTGCATCACCCCCTCCTGCTCACCAGGGGCCTCCCTCATGGTGGCTTCCAGTGACGTCCCATCTCTTAGGTCCTCCCAGCGGGACATCCCTTGGGATTCCATGTTCCTCCCCAACCAGCGTGTCCCTAGGACCCAGGAGTGGCCTCTGCCAGTCCACTTCATCCCAGCCCGGTGGGGTGATGTGCCCAGGAGTGGGGGGGACCCTCATGGGCCCCAGACTGGGTCGGCAAAGCAGATATCAGGGTGACCACCTGCAGTAATCAACGTGGCCCAGAACCCGGGACCCCTGTTCGGGCCTTTTGATTGCTTCTCTGAGTAAACAAATAAGTTCAGTTCACATGCGTTCTGATTAAGTCACTCAAATCCTTCCTGAAGGAGAGGAATAATTCACAATAAGCAATTTAAATTTCCACTTCCCACGAGCGATTTCCATCCGTCCTAGAAGCTGAGAGGATTGCGACCTCCCCTCGGCTGTTTCCTGGGCTGCTGTCAGCCAGGCCGGGCCAAGCCCAGGACTTGTCCCCGCAATGGGGCATGGCCAGTGGCACCCCAAAGGCCCAGGGCCCCTGGGACAGTGTCCTGTGGCTGTTAGCAGAATGGGAACAGAATTGATTGGCATCCTAACAGGTTTACTATGTAATAGTCTTAAAAATAAAATGCTTTTTAAAGAATCTTAAGCCTATTGAAATTCAAAGACAAGATCTCCTGCAGTGTGAAAGCCCAACTGTCAGATACCATTTGTTCCATTTGGTGCTGCGGTGACACTCCCCCTCGAGGTCTGTTGCCACCCTGGGCTCTTTTCCTCTGCAGTTATGGAAGAGCTTCTTTATGACCCGCTGCAGCTGCTGCGGTTAAATTTCTTGCAGTCAGTGTTCTTGGCGTGTCATTATACAGCACTTGATTGAGAGGGGTTTTTTTGTTTTTTTTTTTTGCTGTACGCGGGCCTCTCACTGTTGTGGCCTCTCTCGTTGCGGAGCACAGGCTCCGGACGCGCAGGCCTAGCAGCCATGGCTCACGGGCCCAGCCGCTCCGCGGCACGTGGGATCTTCCCGGACCGGGGCACGAACCCGCGTCCCCCGCATCGGCAGGCGGACTCCCAACCACTGCGCCGCCGGGGAAGCCCGATTGAGAGTTTTATCTGAGAATTCACTCTCCTTCTGAAAACCCTTCGCTAGATGCTCAGTTACCTCCAGGCATTGTGTCTGCAAATACTGCAGCCAAGGCAAGTGTGGTCACCTGGGGTGTTGCAGGGCCCCGAGCCCAGGTGCTCCCCTGGAAGTGAGGTGTCCAGCCCGATAGGGGACACCTCATCCTCACAGGGCCAATCCAGCCTCCTCCCAGGCCTGGGGGCTTGATATTCCGGAGAACCTCCTCCCATGGTCGGGGTCCGTCTCCAGATGAGACTAGAGCAGAATTATAAAGGGGCCCCTCGCTGTGCCCCACGGGCAGGGACCCTCTGCAGTCAGAGGGTTTTCTCCTGAGCCGTTGCTGGGCTGCTCTCCAGAGTGGCCGGCAGTGAGGAAACTGCCCCCTCGGAGCTGGCTGTGGATTTCACTACAAATGAGACCAAGTCAGCTGGGAGGAGCACCTCTCGGTGAGACAGCAGGTGCAGGGAACTGACTTACTGGATGTCTAAACTGGTCCCAGAATCTAAAGCTTTCAGGGTACTAATTTAGCAGACCATCTGGGAAGCTGCAGAAGCCTGGGCTTGCCTCAGGGCAATCCATGGTCAACTCTGCATAACAAGGTTCTTATAAAACATCATTTTGGACAACACTGGTTATAGCGATAAAAGTATTTGAAACAAAAATTTAGTGAGGTTTAAAACTGTCTCGGGGCTTCCCTGGTGGCACAGTTGTTAAGAATCCGCCTGCCAATGCAGGGGACACGGGTTCCAGCCGTGGTTCGGGAAGATCCCACATGCCGCGGAGCAACTAAGCCCGTGCGCCACAACTACTGAGCCTGCGCTCTAGAGCCGACGCACAACTACTGAGCCCACGAGCCACAACTACTGAAGCCCGCCCGCCTAGAGCCCGTGCTCCGCAACAAGAGAAGCCTGCGCACCGCAGCGAATAGTAGCCCCTGCTTGCTGCAACTAGAGAAAGCCCGCGCACAGCAACGAACACCCAGCACAGCCAAACATAAATAAAATTAATTAATTAAAATAAAGTAAAACTCTGTCTCAGAATTTAGGTGAATCTCTTAGGTGTGGATAAGATTTCAGGACTATTTTTTGCTGGAGTAACTGGACCCTAGATGTAATTACATTTTGCATCTCCCCCCTCCCCCCAGATCTCTCTGAGATGTGGTGCCTTCTTTTTGGGTGTCCACGTTCAGCCCCAGGCTGCGTTGGGGGAGTGGCCTCGGGCAGTGTCTGATCTCACTGTGAGGTTGGGTTACGTCCACTCACCTGGGCTTCCAGAGTACCATTCAACTGGTGTGGTGTTTAAGTCCTTGCTTTGCCCTGCTAAGGAGGAGGTGCCCCTCCCACCAGAAAGGGACTTGCCCTCTCACAGGCACCCCTCCTGTGGAGTAGCGGGGAGCATCCCATTCTGTGTCTGGACCATGTGTGTCCACTTTTCCTCCCAGAATTCATTCCACAGCTGGCTCAGTGGAGGTTTTCTGGAGTGGAGGTGCCTCTCCAAGCCCCCTAACCCAGACTCCAGCCCAGGCCCCGAGCTGGAGGGCTTGGGGAGGGCCTCCCCTGGCCCACTGGGAACCAAGCCCATAGCCAGCGCTGCGCCATTTTTGAGCCTGAGTCTGGATAAGTGCTTCCCACCAGCCAGGCCTGGCGCTGGCCACGTGTCCTCAGGTCGGGGCCAGGGTTCGGGGCTCTGAAGGGTCAGAGACTAGGGATGGGCCTGCTCTGGGTGCTGGACTGTGGGCCAGGGCTGGCAGGCCGAGGGGCCAGGTCCACTTCTGCAGGCGGGCGGTTGAGCGGCCCAGACCCCCAAGTATGCGTCGGCGCGCGCGCGCGCACACACACACACACACACACACACACACACACACACACACACACACCCCGCAGGTGCACACATGGGCAGTGGGTGGTTCAGCGCCCCCTGGCGAGCCCTGGAGAGGCGCCGGCGTCCTTACCCTCGTGCTCGCCTGCGTTTCTGGGGCTGCTGGTCCTCGGCCTAACACTGCAACCTCCCTGCCTTCAGGGGCAGCGGCCCCGAGGGCCCGCCTCGCTGCGCCCTCCTGGCCGTCGCGACTTGGTCCTGCCCTGTGAGATGTGGGGGGCCCCGCGTTTGGGGCCCCAGTCTCTTCCTCCTTCCCCTCTGCACGCTCGCTCTT